TGTTTGCGTGTCTTGAGATCGTATTTAAATGCTATGTAAATTCCATTTGATTTATAATTATATCGTGTACTTTGAGTCAGTGCAGAATTGTTATGACCAATTTACTAAATAGCATCATATGACAATAATTTTTGGTCCACCTGCAATAAACAATATCACTGCAATTACATTGCTCAATACATAATGATTGGCAATGATTACCAATAATTTACAGAAAAAATACATTTAAAAAATGCGTGTAGATGGTACAGTGAGGGAAAAAAGTATTTGATCCCCTGCTGATTTTGTACGTTTGCCCACTGACAAAGAAATGATCAGTCTATAATTTTAATGGTAGGTTTATTTGAACAGTGAGAGACAGAATAACAACAGAAAAATCCGGAAAAACGCATGTCAAAAATGTTATAAATTGATTTGCATTTTAATGAGGGAAATAAGTATTTGACCCCCTCTCAATCAGAAAGATTTCTGGCTCCCAAGTGTCTTTTATACAGGTAACGAGCTGAGAATAGGAGCACACTCTTAAAGGGAGTGCTCCTAATCTCAGCTTGTTACCTGTGTAAAAGATGCCTGTCAACAGAAGCAATCAATCAATCAGATTCCAAACTCCTCACCATGGCCAAGACCAAAGAGCTCTCCAAGGATGTCAGGGACAAGATTGTAGACCTACACAAAGCTGAAATTGGCTACAAGACCATTGCCAAGCAGCTTTGTGAGAAGGTGACAACAGTTGGTGCGATTATTCGCATATGGAAGAAACACAAAAGAACTGTCAATCTCCCTTGGCCTGGGGCCCCATGCAATATCTCACCTCGTGGAGTTGCAATGATCATGAGAACGGTGAGGAATCAGCCCAGAACTACACGGGAGGATCTTGCCAATGATCTCAAGGCAGCTGGGACCATAGTCACCGAGAAAACAATTGGTAACACACTACGCCATGAAAGACTGAAATCCTGCAGCGCCCGCTCAAGAAAGCACATATACATGCCCATCTGAAGTTTGCCAATGAACATCTGAATGATTCAGAGGACAACTGGGTGAAAGTGTTGTGGTCAGATGAGACCAAAATGGAGCTCTTTGGCATCAACTCAACTCGCCGTGTTTGGAGGAGGAGGAATGCTGTCTATGACCCCAAAAACACCATCCCCACCGTCAAACATGGAGGTGGAAACATTATGCTTTGGGAGTGTTTTTCTGCTAAGGGGACAGGACAACTTCACCGCATCAAAGGGACGATGGACGGGGCCATGTACCATTAAATCTTGGGTGAGAACCTCCTTCCCTCAACCAGGGCATTGAAAATGGGTCGTGGATGGGTATTCCAGCATGACAATGACCCAAAACACACGGCCAAGGCAACAAAGGAGTGGCTCAAGAAGAAGCACATTAAGGTGTGTGGCCTAGCCAGTCTCCAGACCTTAATCCCATAGAAAATCTGTGGAGGGAGCAGAAGGTTCGACTTGCCAAATGTCAGCCTCGAAACCTTAATGGCTTGGAGAAGATCTACAAAGAGGAGTGGGACAAAATCCCTCCTGAGATGTGTGCAAACCTGGTGGCCAACTACAAGAAACGTCTGACCTCTGTGATTGCCAACAAGGGTTTTGCCACCAAGTACTATATCATGTTTTGCAGAGGGGTCAAATACTTATTTCCCTCATTAAAATGCAAATCAATTTATAACATTTTTGACATGCGTTTTTCTGGATTTTCTTGTTGTTATTCTGTCTCTCACTTTTCAAATAAACCTACCATTAAAATTATAGACTGATCATTTCTTTGTCAGTGGGCAAACGTACAAAATCAGCAGGGGATCGAATACTTTTTTCCCTCACTGTATGGGCATCATCACGCATTATGTATCCACTGCTGGATGAAGGCTTTTCTCCCATGCCGTTGCCACCCCTTGCAGTCCAGCGCTGCTACCATCCATCTCACCTGTGCACATTAATTTATCTCATTGCTCCATCTCCGCGGCGGTGGGATCCGTTAACTCAGCGAGGTGATTATTGCGCGCGCCCAGGGATTCCTGACAGCCATGAGGCAGGAGACAACGCGGCAGAACGTGAGCCGCGGCTGGGCCCTGGACGCTGTGACGCTGCACAACGATGTGACGCGCATGATGCGCGAGGATGTGATGGGCCCGCCGCCCACCGACATCGGCGGAGTCTTCGTCTACGGCCTCTTCCTGGACGGTGCCGGCTGGGACCGGCGCAACGGCAACCTGGCCGAGGCCCTTCCAAAGGTGAAAAGCCCTTTCCATTCACGATAAAAAAATATTACGATGTGGTTGTTAACATGGCTACTCTGTCGTTACTTGGCAGAAAACAATTCACGCCCTTGCCATTCAATTGTTGAAATTTGGGGTTGCGATTTTCATCTGAATCAGCTATAGGGTTTACAATAAATTATTACTTACAACATTATATGGGGGTTTCGATTTAAAGCTTTCGTGACTGCAATGATTCATCTTCTTTGGTTCTTTCGGTAAAGTCACGTAGAATGAGAATAAAATAATAAATTGATAAAATAAAATAACACAATAATATTCTCACGACGTTTCGGCCACAACACAAGCGGCCTTCATCAGGTGAAGGGACGAGACTGTCTGGTAGGACAGCGCTGGAGTGAAAGAGCCACGTTCAGACCACTCTAAGACCGCAGCCCCTTCGCCAGCATTGACTCTTAATACCTCTCACACCACGGTTAATGGTATGGTTTTACAACATGGAGTATGAGTAGCGCCTCGCAGCTGTCTCTCTCCCCCTCCTCTGTTCCGACCATGGACGAACTCGTCCGTCTGAACGGGGCCCGTAGCTATCCGTGGTGCTAAAGTTGAGGCTTAAAGGCCATGATCTGAACGTGGCTCTTTCACTCCAGCGCTGTCCTACCAGACAGTCTCGTCCCTTCACCTGATGAAGGCCGCTTGTGTTGTGGCCGAAACGTCGTGAGAATATTATTGTGTTATTTTATTTTATCAATTTATTATTTTATTCTCATTCTACGTAACTTTACCGAAAGAACCAAAGAAGATTATATGGGGGTGGCGACATGGCCCAGCGCTACCACGATCACCAATTGTGACAAAGGCTTGTGGTTCGAAACCAGCAGGCTACCCTGGTTAATACTGCTGGTATATTAACCATGGTCCAAATGTGCCATATCTGAAAAATTACCTGCAAATTACTTAATTAGAATACATAGCATCATGCTTTTAGTTGCCAAGGCATTTAAGCGACTTAGAAATACAAAGATAATATTTTACATTTTAAAAATGAGCTATTATTATAAACATATGATTGAAACAATCAATACTGTACAGATTATGTAACTGTAGGTTTATTTACAAATCATTGCAAAAAGGCAACTGTCCACTTAATATTCATACATATATTTTTGTTATTTAAGAATTTGTAATATCCTCTCTTGTGATGGTATGCATGCCACACTGGTGGCATCCAAGCATGAATGGAGATCACAGAAGCTTTAGAGTTGTTTCATATTTTAGTCTGCAGAATTTTTAAAGCTAAAAATCCCTACATGTCAGGTTTTGTACCCATTTAAACAAGCTTTCGTGCCTGCCAATTTAAATGGGTTGTGTTTATTCTGATTTACAAGTAATTGTGGAAATTATTGTTGAAGGTCAGGAACACTGCAAAAACCTGGCTTAGTTTTGAAGCATGGAGTTTAGCAAATAAGATGAATTTAACACCCCGCCACAAATACATGCGACTCTTTTCCCAAATTTTATGCACATAACACGACTTACTGTGCACTTGACGGTACTGTAAATTTCTCGTTTACCGCAAACTCAAGGAAGCCAGTGTGTGCAATTCGGTAACACCCACCCCGCTATGAACTGCGTTCCCACTCGCAGGCATTAATTACCATATTCATTTCACGTAGGTCCTCTTCACGCAGCTGCCCGTGGTTCATATTTACGCCATCAACACGGCTCCCGCGGCTGACGCCAAGGGGAAGGCAGTGGCGGCACAGCAGCAGCAGGCGGCGGTGCCGTACTCGTGCCCCGTGTACAAGAAGCCGCGTCGGACGGACCTCACGTACATCTTCCCGTTGCTGCTCAAGACCACCCAGAACCCCGACCACTGGACCCTGCGTGGGGTGGCGCTGCTCTGTGACACAAAATAACTCGGGCGCACGTGCGCACGCTTCGGGCCAGGGCGGCGTTAAACGTTGGTAACACGTGTCGGAGCATGGCAGCAATTAGGCGCGCTACAGATGCATCAATTGCAAGTTGTTCCTTTCGCTCGCAATACCTGCGTCAAATTCAAAATCGTGCAAGGGAGAATCGATTCATATTCATGAGAACGATATGCAACTGTTACATTAATGCTGATGGAGCGAACAAAAGTGTGCAAATTTTAAGTTGAGAAACAATACATACTACAAAATAATTTATTTTTTAATGGAATTCACGGGCCCAAATCGTAACAATCCCATTGCTTGGGTGATCAATCGCAGCAATGCATTGAAAATGCCCATTCTTTCTCAGAAGTGGTGATATTAAACGCACTAGCAGCATTGTGTTAAATCCACATTCAAATCTTGTGTTCAACTTTCAGTCATGTTACTCAGTTCTTGTTTGTCCTGACCCCTGCTCAAAACCTTGTTGTTGTTGTTTCGCAGTCACCACTACTGTTGCCTACCTAAGTGGCTCACAGGTCATTTGGGAGAGCCACTTTATCAAGTAGGCACTGATAATGTGCGTTTGTTTGCACTTTACTGTTAGTTTAAAGAGAGGGCACTTTTAAAATATATTGTGAGTTATATGCAGAACTTTATAGCAACTTTGCCTTTTCTCATATGCTTATTAAGAATACACTGCGCTCTTAGACATTAAAAGCTTATTTGTTTGCACTTATATCAGACTCGTTGATTTTGTTAAATCTTCACGCAGACACCTGCTGAAATTTGTGATGACATAAATTTACGGTGATAGTCACGAAGCAAAATTAACCAAATAAGGAATGTGAAGAGGATATGTTGAGTATTTTATTATTCACAATGTGAGTCATGATACATACGTTTGTGATTTACATTGGTATATAAAATTGTATTTCCATGATACAAAATTTTACAAACATATGTAAATAAAATCCCATTACAAACAAACCATACAAGTATACAAGTTGAACAGTGTTTCAGCTAAGCCTGCTTTGAAGTTCACTGACATTCAGATGCCTAAAAGCATTGGTCCCCAATCTTTCTAGACCTGCGCAACACTATCACGCTTAACACATTTTGTGTGAATCGCTGTGCACCAGTAAAATATTTTTCGAAATTAAAACTGCTCTCAAAGCACTTAAATATTAATGAAAACAATTAATTAGATTTCTTTTAATAACAGCGAAGTTGTACAATGGGAATTCTACATTTGGTTTTGTGAAAAAAAGAATATCTACAACAGTTCCGCAGACCACTTCCCACAAGCCTTGTGAATCGCAGGTTATGAAACTGAAAGAAATGGTGCCAAATGGCTTCTGTACTACGACTGACAAAAAAATCACGAACAGATAGAATATGCCTTGTCCAAAAAAATATTTAAACAGCGACATTTATCTCTTGAGAATACTTGAAAACCAGCATCGTCATAGTAAAGGTGCGAGTTGTTTGGTGTGCGCTGCCACACAGGTGGAGGTAAGAGAGTAGGAGATGGAGGGGTGAAGAGGCAAGAGTTGGACAAAGAGAGAGGTTGGAGCTCATGTAGCCAGGCAGCTCAGCTGGAATTCTTCAGTCAGGCAGCTCGTTTGGAATTCCTCGTCCTTACCCAAGCCTTGTCTCCCCAAAAAAAAGCATTACGGTGCCTTTCATTTGTCTCAACTCGTTATGATTATGCCAAGTACTGGATATGCAACTTTTTGCATGCATTGTTTGACAATACACTCACCCTTTATTTATATGAAATACCATAATTGTCGAATGTGGGAAAAAGGCAATACAAGTCTAAATCCATGACTTAAACAAATAAGGCATGTATGGTTTCCACATGCCTGAGTGATTACCGACAGATGCACATTACATTCAGCGTTTATCACGAAATAAATAGCTGTTAAAAGGAACACTCAAGTTAATTTTACATTAAAGTGTCACAAGTATCCATTCATTATCTTTAATTAGCCTGGACTCCAGGTTAAAACAGGTAATCAATGCACTTCCGATTAACATGGTTGGCCAAGTACGGTGCGAAAGAAGTTCAATATACAGTACATATACACAAGTACTGCATTCTGGTCTATTTTCCCCACCCATGAAACCACAAATATGTAAAACGGAATTAGGGGTAAGACGTTGGGCTTAACAACCTTGCCAAGGCTTTCTGTGCAATGTCTACCTTGTGTGCACGCACTGCACGGAGTTAATAAAAAAAGGCTCATCAAGCCGAACATCTCAACAGGAGAGGAAATGATAAACTTGGATATTTACTTTTACATTCAGTCATGTTATATACCAATATTTGTCAAACTCAGTGTAGTTTACAGCAGCAGTTATATGGAGTATTAATATAAAATACATACATTAAAAAAGCACTGGATAGCACCCGTGCTGTGATAAACCTCAAAGAATTGAGACATGAAAGCACTCGAAAATTGACGATAATGGGACTACCCCTTTTGATAAGAAAACAGATAAACATACATAACTTTAGCTTCTGTATATGTGCGACTAGATTTTGATAACTCGCCACAGCAAGCACACGAGTGGCGTATGGTATCTGAATCAGTCTTGGACCCTCCATCCCCAACTCTCACCGACTAGTCTGGTCAAATATATGGTCAGACATCGTCTATGACTTAGACGGTGTGGGGAGGCTTTCACCCAGAAGAGGACTGACCGTGGACCATCTATATATATATAAAAAAGGGAAATTTGTGAATGTGTGTCTGTCCAAAATGTTTAGCATACTTCCCAACATGCAACAAACTTGAAATTTGGCATGCGGGTAGCTTGCAGACTGTACACAATGCAAAAAATATAAAAATGCAGTCCCCCCTTTTATTTATAAAGATAGTATTTTGATATTTAGGGTAAAATTACGAGATTCTAAAAATAGTCTAATAATCGGTCAGTCACATCTTTAGTAAGCGTATCCTCAACGCTCACCCCCAGTTCCCTACAACATCAAACAAATGTGCAAATGTGAAAGGCAAAAAATAACTACATTCAAATATCAATATGGTGTAATGGAGAACATCGAAGTCGTTATAGATTTTATATTTGAATACATGAGACTTTTTACACATTGTCACCCAGAATGCACCTCATCACATCTTGGAAGCTAAGCAAACTTGAGCCTGGATAGTTTTTGGATGAGCGACCACTGTGCATAACAGGTATTATCGGCCGGGGCCGCTGCATGGTAGGCAGTGCAGGAACCTCCATTGTTGCACATTACTTTATATGCTTCCACATCTATTTTCCATGCCTTCAACCCACTGACCAGGATGGTGAAATATGGTCAAATAAGCTTCATGACCAGCACAGGTTTGGGGAGGCCATCATCCAGGAGTGGATTGACAAAGGGCTGTACATATTGCTTTTTTTTTACAGGAGGCCCTTCAATGAAGAGGCCCTTCAATGAAGAGACCACTTCTACATGCGGTCCATACGGTCTGAGCTCAGCCATACTAATACTGTGCTCCCAATGACATCGCAATGCAATGGTTGTGGTCATACAGCCTCATGTTCAAAGTAGAACCGGTTCAGTATTTGAAATACTTTTTAGGAAGGTCCTGCATTGGGATGTTCACAAAATTCCTTTTTAAGGAGTGTTTTGCTACATATGAGAGGAAAACTAGAGTGCATGGTGATACCTCACAAAGCATACCAGGATCTGCACAGGTGGGCTCATGAATCCACTTCCTGTACTACCATCTAGCCACCTCGCAACCTTGTCGGTTTTGGAGTTTAAAATAAATGTGAACCACATACTCTTGCTCCCATCGTGCAGGATTACAGGCGTGTGCCTAAGCCACCTAAGCCAACCCTTTTAAATCTTGGAATTTTTGTCAGTACTGACAGATAATACAAATCAGCTTATGAGAAGAATATAACTTTTTTCCAATTAACCAAGTAACTTTTTTTCCTAATAAAAAGAACAGTTATGTGAAAAATACACTAATGACAAAGTTCAGTCAAAGTTTCCAAGCTCAAAGGTCATACTTTGCTCTAGCACCCAATAGAACATTACCCAAGCAACAGAATTGTCTCGTGTAGAAAACTGCAATAAACCGTAGCTGACGGAGGCATTGTTATGGAAAAAAGTCGACACGCCACACTACAGTACCAGTGGGGAACAAATACAAGGCGAGTACCGGTACTCAGGTTCGCTCGCACTCGGCTAAGGCCAACAATGCCGCCTGCAGCACAGCTGGTGACCGGTAGGCCACAAACCCATCCATATTGGCCCACATCTCAGCCCCTTTGCCGTTCGGGAAGGGCTAGTGGTAGACAAGCTGCGGGGGTTCCTTCCCTTCTTCGCCTCTCTCAGTGACGCCCTGCCGGTACGACGCCATGCAACGCCGCAGGTTGGCCACACCGCCCCCCAGGGATCGCAGGACCGCGTGGGGGGCGCAGCTGTCCCAGGCATACGTGGTCTTGGGTTTGGTGCACACGTAAGCCGAGACGAAGCCCTCGGCCACGCACAGCGCCTTGTAGCCGGCACCGGCCACCAGCCGGACACGTTCGCTATCGCCACCGCACAGCTTCCCCATCGCCAACCTGACGTGCTCGCCCTCGCTGCCGCTCATCACCACAGAGAGGTCCACCGAGTGGGGAGGGCCTTGGATGGAGCTCACGCGTACCCCGTCGTAACACAGGCCCCAGAAGCCTTTTCCTGACCACCTTGCAGCGACACAACAATAACAAGAGAACTGCAGTTTAATATTTGATATTATTCAATGGTGTAAAAAGTGAAGGGTGCAGCGCTGCCAGTATTTGCTCAAAGCACTGTTGGCAGGGCCTCCACTAGAGGGAGTTCTAGAGAGTCTCGAGAGCAGTGCTTCTCAAGCGTTTTCACTCTATAGCACACGCTTGCTAGATCTTCAGGGCACACAGAACCAAACAAAAAAAATCACTGGGCTCGGGTGAGAACTGAGAGGGTTTGGGGGTGGTGTATGTCAAAGTAACATATAAATATGAACTACAGGAAATGATCGCAGAACCGGTTAAAAACAGTTGCACAGTTGGGCTCAAGATAAATTAGAACAAAACAAAAGTCATGTACAACAAGTTGGCTAAACATTTGTAGATATGGGTTGGGAAGGACAACTGCAAAACATATCAGAGTACCTATAATCTAGGTTTTTTGGATTAGATTGCGTAAATATACATGTGTCGTTACACCCGCCACCACCCGACAGCCAATTAGTAAGGTTTGTCACGTAAACAAAACGCACCAATTAGTTGTTAGTTCAACACACCGGTGTATTGGAGAGTAAATCCACAAATATTTACAATTCGAGTACGATGTTTTGCCAGTAATTGCAACCAGCCTCATCAAGTGACAGCCAGAATTGTGGAGAAATCCTCCTGTTTCGGTCTTAGATAAATGTGATATCATCACTTGTGAGCCAATCAGGTGTGAAGACAAGAGGGGGAGTTAATGTATTCACATAAATTACAATGGGTATATATTATTGATTGGCTTATTCACAGTTATTCAACATACATCATGTATATTATGTATGTACATTCTGCTGTTTTTTATTATCAGATCGGAATCAATTTGATGTAATAAAGAGGCAGACAAGAACAGACTGGAGTATTTTTGAAAAAAAGAACTTGATAAAACACACACCATGGAGATGGAGCTATCAAATCGGCTCTTGCTCAAGAAATAGATGGACTGGTAATGGCTTGGTGAGGCCTTCATCCAGCATTGGATAGATCGTTGCTGTGAAAGTGTGGTGCACTGCACTTACTATGTTAAAATAAATATTAAATTTTAACACATTTATAATCTATAACTGCCAACTCTGTAGACTGCAATTATTTCAATGCACAAATACTTTGCGAATTAATCATCAGTCATGATTGACACTGCTGTAGTTTTCCATAATTTAAGATCCAGAAAAATGTTGCTGCTTCATGCAAGTAAGGCATGCAGTACATGAGCCGCATTATTTATAGAGACCGCATCTGACCAGTTTCAAGTGCACACAATGAATTAATGTGTATATACACTCCTTGACAAACCATTTACAACCTGCAATGTGTCCAGAATTTTAGAGTACTGTGTGATAAGAGTCAATGTCCCTATTTACATTATTCTATGTTTTATAAATTAATACAAAAAAATTGTCAGATTCCCACAAGCCAAGCAGGAAGGAGCCTCGTATTGCCAAAACATGTGGTTTTGGCTTGGGCTGTAAGGTAGCCCAGGACATGGCAGTAGAGCAATGGATTGCTGAATATATCTGTGGAGAGTGTTACCTCCTCGTTTGCTTGGTGGATACTCCAATTTTCTCCCAAAGAGAATTGGTCAAACATTCCAGTGCAGAACCCTCATTTTTTAGTAAATACCATGATTATTACTCTTACAATAATTGTGCGATTACGAGACGTATACATACCTACCATCTTATAATCCGGTAGTTGTATGTGACCATATATGTATAGATTTCTTGACACCATGTACGATTTTGGCCTCTCTTAACTCTCTGGCTCATGTTGTAATCCAGACTACAGTAATATAATTCCCAAGAGCAAAACAATTCAGTGGCAAATGTCACCTGGAACTCATGGAATCGCATGTGTGTGCACTGGTTATTGTCACCACAATAAAATAAACACATGATACGTCATCTTTCACTGAAAAACATCGACCTGTATAACCCCCCACATTTCCTAACACGTCCGCCCTTCTCATAATACATCCCAATCGCAGCACGATTGAGAGGTTTCGAAGAACCAATTGGCGAGGCCTACATGCGCCGAGAGAGAGTGTGCCCTCACCTGCCGGTTTGCGGGTCCCTCCTGACGAAGGGCTGGTTGACAACGCCCATAATGGGCAGGCCGTCGTGCCTCCCGTACGCCCCAACGAGAACAGTGACGCACTGCAGACCGTGCTCGAACACCCCACCTCTGCCCTTGTCATCCGACGCACCCTCGATGTACTGGTTCGTCGAGTCTGGTCACGCACGCATGCACATACGTCCACAGGGGAAAACATGTTCATGAAAATATTTGCAGCTATGAATTGTAGCTATAGATCATGGGTGTGAAAAAGACCCAAAACAGAAGATCCCTGGGTTTGATCTTCCACGGAGCTCATGGTACACCCTAAACCGCATTAGCACAAACCATGGCAGATGCACATATCTGATGCACAAAGGGAAATTTTAAAACTCTTCAGTGTAACGGTGGTCATCCAGAATAGACCATATAACATATAATGATGCAATGCCCGATCCACAAATACGAAGGAGACATTACAACAATACATTCTGCTGCTCCTGAATGTGAAATTGTAGTTGTTGCTCTGCATGGGTGTGGAACATTTTTAATCCTGAATCGGACTTTCAAATAGCTTTGGGGGCAGGCACACATCAGTTGACAGTAAATGCATCGGCTGCGTGCCAAGACCTACTTAAAAGACAACCGGTGACGAAGTGGGGCAAAGTTTAAACACAATGTTGCTCGGTCGAAAATACAGTAAGATACTTGCAGTGGCAAATAAACATCGATTACGGGTTGTTTCCAAGTGGTAGGCCTCATGTGGCCTTGGGCTACATAAATTTAAGTCATGACCTGGATTTGGCTCGTAGGTTCTACACCCCTGCTATAGATAAATCAAAGTCTTGTTTAGGGTCTGTGTGCTGCTTACAACTACACAAGTGTGCAGACAATGTCATGTTACCGCAATATTACCAAGTTTGTGTTTGGTTTACCTGTGTTTGTTATGCTTGTAACATGTACTATAATGGTAGATAAAAGTAAAATGTGATACAGAATATGATGTAAGATTATCCTTTGTCATGAGAAACACTGATGTAATGGACTAGACATTGCACGGTTAAAACATGAATGCTATGCATTCGGTGTAAAATGTACGTACCCCACATTAATGTGTTTTAATATCAGAGCAACATTCTATCATGTTATCTGTCAGTTATAATCATATCTTGTGAAAGTTATATTATGGGGATAACACTACATTGGGGACACCCTGTAAATATTGTACTTAACGGTCCAACAAAAAATAATTTGCCAGAGAAGCGAAGTGGTATCAAGTTAGCAAATCTGACTTTCCAATTAAGCTTTATAATTTTAAAGTATCTGCATATAAAGTACTGTATTCTGATTGCCACATTTGACCGAAATTATGCCTGTTACTGCATTGAACAAATGTTTCCTTTACTTGTAAACACCATTTATCTATTTACCCAGAAAAGACTTACAGTGTCAGGACTCATGCTCAGGAGGGATCCACATTAAGGGATGTTTAGCCAATATCATTCGCGTACATATGTATTTTGAACTTCTTTTTCGCACCGTGCGTAGCCAAGAGAATGGGCATACCCAGGAAACTGTGCATATGGGACAGAACACTCAAACCTTCACACGGAGAGATTCAATCCATTACTATCCTGCCTTATCCTGGCTACCTCACAGACACAAAAAAGACAAAAATCCCCCGTATAGCCTGAAACAGACTGTTGGGGCAAGTGCTGTTAGCGAGCACCTATGAAGGCCGGCACGGCACACAAGGGGGTGGGTGGCCAACACCACGCCCGACCGCCTTTGTCTCCCCAAAGGCGATGTTCACACACCAGACTACTTACTCGTTTGAGGCTGAGTCGACCTAAGGGAGGCCCAGGACCGGTTCAGGTAATCGTCACTGGGTGTTGGCCGTGAGCGGGAATCGACCCCGGGTCGCCGGGTTCGTAGCGCAGCGTAGCGCTAACCGCCACGCTACCGCTCCCCACTTCACAGGCACACGCACACCATGACACACGGTACTCTCTGGTGGTCTCCCATCCAAGTACTAACCAGGCTTAACTCCGCTTTGCTTCTGAGATCCGATGAGGTTGGGTATATTCAGGGTGATTTGGCTTCGGGGCTCGCAGGGCAGCACAAACATGGGTGCGTATTAATGGGCACAGCGTAACTTGTGTGTGGAAAAAAATGGGTCAGCTAAGGGTTGGGGATACAGTGCTGTTTGTAAAGACAGCTGCACTCTGAACTGCCACTGCAGAAATTGTAGGCGTACGCGCGTGCTTCAATGGAAACCGACGTCTCATTTCCCATGACGTCCCTGGGCACACAGCTGGCAAAAAAGCAGGCTCTATAGGCTATACAGGCACAGTGAATAATGTGTTTTCTTACGACATGTCAAAACAGATCAAGAAGAAAGCAAGTGACTAAAACTGTGTTTTTATTTTTAAATATATATTTGGATCTTATACTCAAATTGTAATGATTTAGCATTTAGCACACTTGAGAGATATATCATTTACCAGGCATGCCCAAAATTACACGGTGGATTATGGTTTTTATTGGAAATTGTGAAGTCTAAACTGATCCATGTGAAGACAGTCTATTGAAATACAATGATCTATCTACAAAGCACAGCAGTGGACGAATTAAAAAGTTATTTCATGAAAGTGATTAAACAATCCCCTTCGCCCGTTAATTTACTTTATATCACATGCAGAGGAAGCGAAAATAAATCATTCTGGGGTGGAAGGCACAGGTTGAAAGCAGAGGTTTGCATCCGGGTAGTTGCAGTCACTGAGATTTTCTGGGACCGACCACATCGCTACTTGGTATTCATGTAGGTATCCAGCAGCAGGACAGGTGATTGCACAACGCAGATGGAGATTTCCTACCTCACGATCCATCACTCAAACTTGCGTAGTCCACTGCCGATTCATCAATAGCAGTGCCTCCAGGATAAATGAAGATTCTAATTCAATTCAAATGCTGAATGTCATACGGCCCACTCTGAGTTCTATGGCGCTTTCCTATAGGGCCATATGACCCACTGATAAGCGTTCTTCTTGCATTGTTGGCCGAGAGATGTTTTCTTCCATTAGGGGAGGAATAAGGGAATAGCCAAAAAAGGGCATTGGCAGTCATTGATTTCAGAAGAGGCAGTGCCTAGGTTAAAACAAATGTTGGGGGAGGGGTGAAGTGCCCGAGTTTAAGTGGAGGCTCCACCGATGAGAGTGGTTATATATCATCATCAACATATATATAAAAAAGGCAAAGTTGTGATTACGTGTGTCTGTTCAAAATGTTTAGCGTACTTAAAATTTGCCATGTAGGTACTTTCCAGACTGTACACCATGCAAAAATTATAAAAATACACTTTTTTTTGGGGGGGGGGGGGGGTGGGAGCTCAATAATGCATTTATTTTTTGCGTGGTGAAGCCAAGTCCTGGGCGAAGCCGGGCAGTAAAGCTAGTATATCATACGGGACATGCGCATTAATCAGGTTTTAGGACTATTAGAACACAAACCCAGACCAGATATTTCACTTGTCAGTCCCACATTACGTTGCATCACTTTAGCGGTTTTAATTTCTTTACGTGGCCAATAATAGTAAATTATATAACTACCTTAAACAAGTGGGTTATGAAATAATCCACTCTTATTTACCATATAAATATATTGTTAGGACTGACGTTTTGATACCTTAGGTGGTCATATTCACATCACATCTTGGCAAACCAAGAGAAATACATCTTCTCGGCCAATTTGGTTCTTTGTTACGAGTAGAAACGTCAACACATTTTTTCTACAAAAAACTGTACGGAAAGCGACAGATTTCCCAATACCCCAATTGGACCACATGAGTTTCGCAGTTTTGTGGTGTTCGTAAGCAAATCAGCTTAAATGGTATGTTGATGAATACTGGTTTTATTAACTTTATGCTTCAGTAAACAAAAAAAACTTCCTCATGATAAGAATACTGTAGGTCGAGGCTGCGGACTGTATACACAAGCAAGTGCTGTGCACTTTGCCCGGTGCAATTATAAGCCACACAACAACTCGTAGTGAATTGAAGTTTGAAGAAAACATTGTGCAGCCCAAAGAGTTAAGGCTATTAAATGGGGTAAAAAAACAGCACCAGATGCTCTGCAGTACTCATCTCCATACATATAAAAGGCAAAGTTGTGATTGTATGTGTCTGTTCAAAATGTTTAGCGTACTTCCCGACATGCAACAAACTTGAAATTTGCCATGTGGGTACTTTCCAGACAATACACAATGCAAAAATTATAAAAATACACTTTTTTTTGGGTGGGAGCTCAATAATGCATATATTCTTTTTCACGGCAAGTGAGCTGTGACGTAACGCATTGTAGTGTAGTGGTTAGCGCGCTGTGTATGTGTCTGTGTGTGTGTCTGTGTGTGTGTCTGTGTGTGTGTCTGTGTGTGTGTGTGTGGGGAGTGGTAGTGTAGTGGTTAGCGCGCTGTGTGTGTGTCTGTGTGTGTGCCTGTCTGTGTCTGTGTGTGTGGGGGGAGTGGTAGTGTAGTGGTTAGCACGCTGTCTGTGTGTGTGTCTGTGTGTGTGTCTGTGTGTGTGTCTGTGTGTGTGTCTGTGTGTGTGTGGGGGGAGCGGTAGTGTAGTGGTTAGTGCTACGCTGCGCTACGAACCCGGCGACCCGAGTTCGATTCCCGCTCACGGCTACCACCGGTGACGATTATTTCAACCGGTCCTGGGCCTCCCCTAGGTCGATTCAGCCTAAAACGAGTAACTGGTGTGGTGTGTGAACATAGCCACTGGGGGGACAAAGGCGGCCGGGCGTGGTGCATCCAAGTCCCGGGCGAAGCCGGGTAGTAAAGCTAGTAAATAATATAGAGGACGGGCTAAATTGGGATTCATAAATTCCAAATGTTACATTTAAAAAATGTCAAAGCATCTACAAGGGGCTGCCTGACAGCACAAGTAATTTGAAATGGGAAATCTTTTTCAGTCAAATGTATGTGAAAGTGGGCACTCCATTCACATTTAACTGCTAAACTAAAGCCAAATTTTACGATTGTATTTCTGCTAACAGCTAAATGTGTTTTTTTTATATTTTGGCAATTAAAAAATAACAAGCTACCCACTTAAGCTACCTTTTTGTGTTTAGTTTGGTGTCCTTCCCCCACACCTCATATTAGCACGGTTGGCTATGTACGGTGCAAAAGACTTTCAACATACATACATATAAAATAGTATTTAAGACTTAAGATGATACAAGGAGTCCGTATAGCGACAGTACTTGTACATTTGGCAAATATTGATTCTCGTTAGAAACGTGGCTTGAAGAGAAATAAAGTTATCTCATCATTACACGAAGAAATTGTTTTTGTCAGCTTTAGCTGGAGCATAATGCGGACAAAATGAGAGGGGTTATGTTTTCACAATTTGCTACCAAGAGAAATGTTGACTAAACGCATGATAGTCCCTCTGAGGGTTAAGTCCCAACACATTACAAAAACAATAATAATACCTACTATAATCACCCAGGAATGTCCTTAATGCTCGTGACGTCACTCCACATCGACCAGCCCCCCTCATTAATATTCATTAACAGGTGACGTCCTCCAAATCGACCACCCCCCCATTATTATTACCTACTGAGCCAAGAATGTCTGTGTGCAACGCTCGTGACGTCACTCCACGTCGAGCAGCCCCCCTCATTAATAATCATGAACAGGTGACGTCACTCCACATGGAGCACCCTCCCCCCTCATTAATAATCATGATCAGGTGACGTCACTTCACATGGAGCACCCTCCCCCCTCATTAATAATCATGATCAGGTGACGTCACTCCACATGGAGCACCCTCCCCCCTCATTAATAATAATTAGCGGCTGACATCACTCCACATGGGGGGCGAGGCGCCTCCTCCCCCCTCCACAGCGTCAACTCACAACCCTCACTACAAAGGCAGAACCCTCACGTCACGTGATCTCCGTGACGCTGTTGAGACATAGAAGTAAAAAGGATGTCATGATGAACAAGGGATTATAACCTTAAAATGAAATAGGTCTGTGTCACCGCGGCCTTACAAATTGCACACGAATTGATGCAATGAATATATCACGTCGCGGTCTGATTTTCGCTTGCAAGTTTCAGATTTACTGCAATACACCCGTCCTTGGACGGGTAAAAGGCTAGTGCCTAATATTTATCTTAGAAACCCCAAATGAGTCTCAGCACCCTATTTCTGGAGGGTCTTACATTGAGATGTCAGCCAATTCCAATTATGCATGTCTGGCATGGAGTGGAGTATCTGGAGAAACAAACCACCTATATGAGGGGATAACCCAACAAACTGAACACAGATAGATTAAATTCAATCCACTGCTGTACTAACATCTCCTGGCCACCTCACGGCCGAAGCCTACAGCACCTGATATTCCCAGGCAGCCTGCAATCCAGACTCTGACCGGGCTCAACCTGGGATCTGCCAAGACCGAGTAAATCGAGGCAATTTTATCGTGGGCTCCTCCTCTCACCATGTGCTACACCTACCAATGGGGTCGACCCACACCCCGAGGTCCTCGGGCTCCAGCTTCACGGCGATGTCCTTCAACCGGGGATCGGGCGCCAGCCCGGAGTCAGAGTGCACGGCCTCGGCGAGGAGGCGAGCGGCCTGGTGGTTCCCATCCAGCACCAGGGTGAGCAGCTCCGCCGTGTCGGCGGGGGTGGCGCGCACCTCGATGTACACCGTCTCACCTGTGTGCACGTGCGGGTACGTTCAGGCGAGAGGCATTAATGCAGCACAGCAAGTGGGCAGGCATGTTAACGATGCATCGATATAAACCTATCCTTGAGATGGCTGGGGTGCCTCAAATGTCAAGAGTGCTGAGATGACACTGCTGATATCCTGGGTTAAAATCCAAGCGACCTCCTGTAATGAAACTTGTTTCTCGAGTGTAATGAGTTGATGGTCTCAGCTCGGTCACCAATGATTGCAGGAAACAGCCATAACAACAAACTTGGTTCTGTACTTAAATTGACTAAATTCCAGCTCTGAGAAATTAGAAAATATCGGTTTGACTGTCATGCGATGAACATTATTCTCAGTGGCAACAGAGGTCGAAATTTTTTATTCTGGAAAAACAAAACTGCGCGAAAATATAGAAAGAAACTGTGCAATCAGGAACATAATTGTCTTTCATCGAATCGTGACCCAGAAGCAAAATTAAATTAACAGCCGTAGAGGAGAAGAGTTGCATGCCCACTGTGAAGATACATCCTATTAGTTGGCATTCATAATCGTGGTATGCGCACAACGGGGGTGGGATGGAATGATGTAGCAAGCACTATAACTTTAACATTATCAGGCACCCAAACAAAACAGCTTACACACAAGTGCTAAACAAAGCAATTACTTTCAATAGTTTCAATGAGCACAGGAAGCACTACGAAGCAACACTTACCCAAGCTATTAGTGAACTTGTTGCTCTCTTCTCCGTAAATGTGCCCTGCCAGACCTGGGAACTAAACACAATGGACACAGTGGGCTTGAGGGAATTTCTTTCATATTACAGCAGTTCCAAACAGGGAGATTGATAGCTATGGCTCTGAAACCTACAAACTACTAATTATGTTTCCGAGATCACTGGAAAGTGAGCCAGACCGGATTATAAACCAAACAAGGGAGCTCTGCCTAGATTCTCACAACAGTGTTACATGGGCTCACAGGACACCGAACCTTTTCTGTTACCAGTCCGTGCAGCTCACTTCTGGAAGCGTGCTGCTGGCCTTAACTCAGGCCACCCTCGAAAAAGAGTGGTGATGTCACAAGTGGTGATGTCACAAGAAATGGATGTGCAGTCAATGATCAACTTACAGGCCGTATTTTTGTTTTGAAAAAGACAGCAGAAATGTTTGACAGATTTTAAGTTGCTTTCACCTAACCCAGGGGTCGGCAAAGATGATAACAAGAGGAGCCGTTTTTTTTGTAATCCGGTAAAAAACTCAACATTTCAAAAGTCGCAATGCATGTGAACACAAGATGGTCCTAAATAAATAACATCAGGAAGCAGTCCTTAAAGGGCCGCATGCGGCTCTAGAGCAGCAGGTTGCCGACCCGTGGCCTAACCCAAGTGAGCATATTCAAAACCCTGTTCAGGCTGTGGAGGGTTAGGATGGGAAGTCGTAAAGGAGACAGGGAAAAGAGACACCGAACCCACAGAGACGTGCAACTCATGAAGCGTTGGGACTAGATCCGAACCATGCAGGGCCATACCTGGGCCGATGAGTCTAGTTGCCTCTTGCCATGAGAACACAGCATACGTGCTCCAGTGGTGATTTACGAGTAATCTTACAAAAGGTTTGGCCCATCCACAATCAAATGAAATATACAAAAAGGTGGCTTATTTCCCCTTGTTGCCCTGGTCAGATTGTCTTCTTATTGTTTGTGTTTTTGTAAGAATGCTGTAGATGACTTGGCATTCAAGTCCCGAATAAATGCAAATCCTTACACACGTGAAAGGACACATACCTCCTGCAGACCCTGTAAGTCCAGAAAGGCATTGCATAACACCGCAATTTTTCCCAATTACACAAAAAAGGCCTCAATAAGATGTATAGATTTGGAAGTTGTATATTAAGGTCTTTGTAGATCAGTGTCCAAAACTAAGTTAAAACCAATGAAGAAGACAATGAAGATCCCAATCCTGATGGCGATGTTGATGAAGATGCACAACGCCACCGCTCTCACCTTCTTGCCCACATAATGCTTAATGGCCTCCTGGATGAGCACGTCGGCCAAGGTCTTGAAGTCGCTCAGAAACTTCTTGTTCTTGTCGTCGCCCGTCTTCTCCTCCACCAGGAGGCGGAAGAGTGCCTCCTCGGCACGGCAGACGCGCGCAATGTTCGCCGCTTTCTCCGCCACCTCCAACAGCGAGGCCAGAATTTCCGCCATGGCCTCAAGGAAGTCTCAAGTTCAGCGGCAGTGAGGAAGGGCGGCTTGACTGCACACAAAGAGATCAGCAGAGTGCAATCCACGCTCACGTAACAAAACATCTGGGTGCCTCGGTTATGAGTCATCATCAGCAATGACCAATCCGTCACCATCTTTCACAATCCTGCGATATAGCAATCCACCTAGCAATTGCACGCAAACCGATTCCATTGCTCTAGCCTCACTTTTTTTCTACTGGCGCTCGTTATTTTCAATCACTGGCCGTTACCTCCTTTAGCCACATATTTTTCTTAACAGTAAATACTATGTCTTCAACCTGCGTGTGTTCTCTAACTCATGTATTCTTCTCCTCCATCTGACTCTTCATGTAATTCCAAGCGTGCAATCACTCCATGTTTCTCTGTGCCATTTCAGTATTTATAATTAAACATAATATAAGCATTTCGGATCCATACATCATAGATAATATGTACTTGCTATGACGTGATGTATTGCTTATGCCTGCAAATACAATAAATGTGTTGTCCACACTGTTGTGCATGAAACAAGGTATGCAGTTTCACCAACTTGGAGCATTAAATAATGCCATTTAACAACAGGTAGAAGATAGTACAATTCTAACTTAGGATTGATAAATGTCTGAACAATACACACCCTCTGAGCTATCTCAGAGGGGGGGGGGGGGCATGATTCACATCTTGATGAAAAAGCCAAAACACATCGTCTTGCCAACTTCCCATTGTTAGCGAATGACACAATGGCACGGTATGTATTCCTTCAATACATTGGACGTAATGGAACATGCCTACACGTGAAGCGGCCCGAGTTTTGGAGGAAATTGTGGGCTGTGCACAGCATGCAAAGGTCAGGATTTGCCAATCTCTGCTGTGATCTCTTTGTAACCTCGGTTTCGTACCGACACACTGCTGCTTATGAGTACCTGCTCCAACACCGAGTAAGTTTTTTTACAGCTCTACATAGCCTACCAATTGTTCAGAACTATATCCCGAGATGCCACTGACGGGGAGCATGAGCAGTGATATGTTTAGAGGGGAACAGAAACTCGACGGCAAAGTGACAGAGGAGTGTGCTTGGCATGGGCCCTGGTGCAAGAAATGAAATGAGAACCCTCCCTTAAAAGTGAAAAGCTCAAGAATGCTCACTTCATGGCTGTGGGGTCTCATTTTTTTATCTGAAATGTTTTTTGAGCGTGAATGCTTCTAATCACGCATGTCCTGCTGTGCAGTTATATAACCACGAGACTTCCTGGGGTGGCTAGGGTCAACAGTAAACTAGAGGCTCCTCTGCATGAAAGCAAATTCCTCAACATCCATGGCAGTGCACGTCTCGTATGTGGCTGAAAAGATCTCATGATGGGTTTTTTTTTGTAAAGTTCTGCACCGGATGTTTGGTCGCCTAAATCTTAATACGGTAGTTTAGTTTGTGGGAAGAACCCACAGTATTGTACCCGACAAAAAAAAAGTTGAGCACATTTACAAATACATGTCTCATCCACATATCTGTCTTTCCACATGAAATATAAATGTATATATTTTATACATTTTTATTACGCCCTTCCAGTACATATTTTCAGCAGCAACCCCCCCCTGGACCGTATGTTGAACTTCTTTCACACCGTACATCGCCAAACATGCTAATCGGTCCGGGTTCGACGCACAGTATCTCATCAGCACGTATATGAGCGTATAGTCCTAAACAGTCCGTAATGATGGGTTCGTGAACCCATTTGTTGTCCTGCAATGTGCAAACACAGCAGCACTCACACACAAAGACTGTTGGGGGCAAGTGCTGTCAGCGAGCACCTATGAAGCCGCCACGGCACACGAGGGGGTGGGTGGCCAACACCACGCCCCGTGCCTCCTGTACCACATCACTCCATCTCTTCTCTAGCCCCGTGCCTCCCTGTACATCACTCCATCTCTTCTCTAGCCCGTGCCTCCTGTACCACATCACTCCATCTCTTCACTAGCCCGTGCCTCCTGTACCACATCACTCCATCTCTTCTCTAGCCCCGTGCCTCCTGTACCACATCACTCCATCTCTTCTCTAGCCCGGTGCCTCCTGTACCACATCACTCCATCTCGTCTCGAGCCCCGTGCCTTCCTGTACCACATCACTCCATCTCTTCTCTAGCCCGTGCCTCCTGTACCACATCACTCCATCTCTTCACTAGCCCGTGCCTCCTGTACCACATCACTCCATCTTTTCTCTAGCCCCGTGCCTCCTGTATCACATCACTCCATCCCTTCTCTAGCCCCGTGCCTCCTGTACCATGTCACTCCATCTCTTCTCTAGCCCCGTGCCTCCTGTACCACATCACTCCATCTCTTCTCTAGCCCCGTGCCTCCTGTACCACATCACTCCATCTCTTCACTAGCCCGTGCCTCCTGTACCACATCACTCCATCTCTTCACTAGCCCGTGCCTCCTGTACCACATCACTCCATCTCTTCTCTAGCCCCGTGCCTCATGTACCACATCACTCCATCTCTTCTCTAGCCCCGTGCCTCCTGTACCACATCACTCCATCTCTTCTCTAGCCCCGTGCCTCCTGTACCACATCACTCCATCTCCTCTCTAGCCCGTGCCTCCTGTACCACATCACTCCATCTCTTCACTAGCCCGTGCCTCCTGTACCACATCACTCCATCTCTTCTCTTGCCCCGTGCCTCCTGCACCACATCACTCCATCTCTTCTCTAGCCCGTGCCTCCTGTACCACATCACTCCATCTCTTCTCTAGCCCGTGCCTCCTGTACCACATCACTCCATTTCTTCACTAGACCGTGCCTCCTGTACCACATCACTCCATCTCTTCTCTAGCCCGTGCCTCCTGTACCACATCACTCCATCTCTTCTCTAGCCCCGTGCCTCCTGTACCACATAACTCCATCTCTTCTCTAGCCCCGTGCCTCCTGTACCACATCACTCCATCTCTTCACTAGCCCGTGCCTCCTGTACCACATCACTCCATCTCTTCTATAGCCCCGTGCCTCCTGTACCACATCACTCCATCTGTTCTCTAGCCCGTGCCTCCTGTACCACATCACTCCATCTCTTCTCTAGCCCCGTGCCCCCTGTACCACATCACTCCATCTCTTCTCTAGCTCCGTGCCTCCTGTACCACATCACTCCATCTCTTCTCTAGCCAGTGCCTCCTGTACCACATCACTCCATCTCTTCTCTAGCCTGTGCCTCCTGTACCACATCACTCCATCTCTTCACTAGCTCCGTGCCTCCTGTACCACATCACTCCATCTCGCCTCGAGCCCGTGCCTCCTGTACCACATCACTCCATCTCTTCACCAGCCCATGCCTCCTGTACCACATCACTCCATCTCTTCTCTAGCCCCGTGCCTCCTGTACCACATCACTCCATCTCTTCTCTAGCTCCGTGCCTCCTGTACCACATCACTCCATATTTTCACTAGCCCGTGCCTCCTGTACCATATCACTCCATCTCTTCTCTAGCCCCGTGCCTCCTGTACCACATCACTCCATCTCTTCTCTAGCCCGGTGCCTCCTGTACCACATCACTCCATCTCTTCTCTAGCCCCGTGCCTTCCTGTACCACATCACTCCATCTATTCTCTAGCCCGTGCCTCCTGTACCACATCACTCCATCTCTTCACTAGCCCGTGCCTCCTGTACCACATCACTCCATCTTTTCTCTAGCCCCGTGCCTCCTGTATCACATCACTCCATCCCTTCTCTAGCCCCGTGCCTCCTGTACCATGTCACTCCATCTCTTCTCTAGCCCCGTGCCTCCTGTACCACATCACTCCATCTCTTCTCTAGCCCCGTGCCTCCCTGTACCACATCACTCCATCTCTTCTCTAGCCCGTGCCTCCTGTACCACATCACTCCATCTCTTCTCTAGCCCCGTGCCTCCTGTACCACATCACTCCATCTCTTCTCTAGCCCCGTGCCTCCTGTACCACATCACTCCATCTCTTCTCTAGCCCCGTGCCTCCTGTACCACATCACTCCATCTCTTCACTAGCCCGTGCCTCCTGTACCACATCACTCCATCTCTTCTCTAGCCCGTGCCTCCTGTACCACATCACTCCATCTCTTCTCTAGCCCCGTGCCTCCTGTACCACATCACTCCATCTCTTCTCTAGCCCCGTGCCTCCTGTACCACATCACTCCATCTCTTCTCTAGCCCCGTGCCTCCTGTACCACATCACTCCATCTCTTCACTAGCCCGTGCCTCCTGTACCACATCACTCCATCTCTTCTCTAGCCCGTGCCTCCTGTACCACATCACTCCATCTCTTCTCTAGCCCCGTGCCTCCTGTACCACATCACTCCATCTCTTCTCTAGCCCCGTGCCTCCTGTACCACATCACTCCATCTCTTCTCTAGCCCCGAGCCTCCTGTACCACATCACTCCATCTCTTCTCTAGCCCCGTGCCTCCTGTACCACATCACTCCATCTCTTCTCTAGCCCCGTGCCTCCTGTACCACATCGCTCCATCTCTTCTCTAGCCCCGTGCCTCCTGTACCACATCACTCCATCTCTTCTCTAGCCCGTGCCTCCTGTACCACATCACTCCATCTCTTCTCTAGCCCCGTGCCTCCTGTACCACATCACTCCATCTCTTCTCTAGCCCCGTGCCTCCTGTACCACATCACTCCATCTCTTCACTAGCCCGTGCCTCCTGTACCACATCACTCCATCTCTTCTTTAGCCCCGTACCTCCCTGTACCACATCACTCCATCTCTTCACTAACCCGTGCCTCCTGTACCACATCACTCCATCTCTTCTCTAGCCCCGTGCCTCCTGTACCACATCACTCCATCTCTTCTCTAGCCCCGTGCCTCCTGTACCACATCACTCCATCTCTTCTCTAGCCCCGTGCCTCCTGTACCACATCACTCCATCTCTTCACTAGCCCGTGCCTCCTGTACCACATCACTCCATCTCTTCTCTAGCCCCGTGCCTCCTGTACCACATCACTCCATCTCTTCACTAGCCCGTGCCTCCTGTACCACATCACTCCATCTCTTCTCTAGCCCCGTGCCTCCTGTACCACATCACTCCATCTCTTCTCTAGCCCCGTGCCTCCTGTACCACATCACTCCATCTCTTCTCTAGCCCCGTGCCTCCTGTACCACATCACTCCATCTCTTTAGTAGCCCCGTGCCTCCTGTACCACATCACTCCATATCTTCTCTAGCCCCGTGCCTCCTGTACCACATCACTCCATCTCTTTAGTAGCCCCGTGCCTCCTGTACCACATCACTCCATCTCTTCTCTAGCCCGTGCCGCGCCCGTTTAGCCCCCTTGATCCGGCCGAACAAAAGCAACACAACACACACACTGTAACACAGCACACACAACACTGTAACACAGCACACACAACACTGTAACACAGCACACACAACACTGTAACACAGCACACACAACACTAATACACACACAACACAACACTGTAACACAACACAACACTGTAACACACACAACACAACACTGTAACACAGCACTCACAACACTAACACATACAACACACACAACACTGTAACACACACAACACTGTAACACACACAACACTGTAACACACACAACAAGGTAACACACACAACACAACACTGTAACACACACAACACTGTAACACACACAAGGTAACACACACAACAAGGTAACACACACAACACAACACTGTAACACACAACACACACTGTAACACACAACAAGGTAACACACACACAACACAACACTGTAACACACAACACACACTGTAACACACACAATACTGTAACACAGCACACACAACACTAACACACAACACACACACTGTAACACACACAACACTGTAACACAGCACACACAACACTGTAACACAGCACACACAACACTAACACACAACACACACACTGTAACACACACAACACTGTAACACAGCACACACAACACTAACACACAGCACACACAACACACACACTGTAACACACACAACACTGTAACACAGCACATACAACACTGTAACACACAACACACACAACACTGTAACATAGCACACTGTAACACAGGACACTGTAACACAGCACACTGTAACACACAATACAACACTGTAACACAGCACACTGTAACACAGCACACACAACACTGAAACACAGCACACTGTAACACAGCACACTATAACACACACACAACACTGTAACACACAACACAACACTGTAACACAGCACACTGTAACACACACAACACAACACTGTAACACAACACTGTAACACACAACACTGTAACACACAGCACACTGTAACACAACACACTGTAAGACAACACTGTAACACACACACACAACATAACACTGTAACACACACACAACACAGTAACACAACACTAACACAACACTGTAACACACTGTAACACAACACTGTAACACAGCACACACGACACTGTAACAACACACAACACTAACACAGCACACACAACACAACACACTGTAACACACAACACAACACTGTAACACACTGTAACACACACACTGTAACACACACACACAACACTGTAACACACAACACAACACTAACACACACACAACACTGTAACACAGCACACTGTAACACAGCACACTGTAACACACACAACACAACACTGTAACACAACACTGTAACACACCACTAACACAACACACACAACACTGTAACACAGCACACACAACACAACATACTGTAACACACAACACACTGCAACACACACTGTAACACACAACACAACACTGTAACACACACTGTAACACACAACACTGTAACACACACTGTAACACACAACACACACACTGTAACACACACTGTAACACACAACACTGTAACACACACTGTAACACACACACTGTAACACACACACTGTAACACACAACACTGTAACACAACACTGTAACACAACACTAACACACACTGTAACACAACACTGTAACACAACACTGTAACACAACACACAACTGTAACACAACACTGTAACACAACACTGTAACACAGTACACAACACACAACACACACTGTAACACACACTGTAACACAGCACACTGTAACACACACAACACACAACACTGTAACACAACACTGTAACACAGTACACAACACACACTGTAACACACACTGTAACACAACACTAACACAACACTGTAACACAACACTAACACAACACTGTAACACAACACTAACACAACACTAGCACAACACACAACACTGTAACACACTGTAACACAACACACACAACACTGTAACACAACACTGTAACACACACACAACACACAACACAGTAACACAACACACAACACTGTAACACAACACTGTAACACACACACAACACACAACACAGTAACACAACACACAACACTGTAACACAACACTGTAACACACACACAACACACACAACACAGTAACACAGCACTGTAACACACACACAACACACAACACTGTAACACAACACTGTAACACAACACACAACACTGTAACACAACACTGTAACACAACACAACACTGTAACACAACACAGTAACACAACACAACACTGTAACACAACACACACAACACTGTAACACAACACACACAACACACGCACACACTGTAACACACACACACAACACTGTAACATACAACACAACACTGTAACACAACACACACACTGTAACACACAACACACACACACTGTAACACACACAACACACACTGTAACACAACACACTGTAACACAACACACAACACAACACTGTAACACAACACACTGTAACACACAACACTGTAACACAACACAACACTGTAACACAACACTGTAACACAACACACTGTAACACACAACACTGTAACACACAACACACTGTAACACAACACAACACACAACACAACACACTGTAACACAACACACAACACAACACACTGTAACACAACACACTGTAACACAACACACGTCCCGACCTCGGCTCCCCGTGCGTCTCCTCGCCGCCTGTTTCAGAATCGCCGCCGCTGTCACCGCCGCCGCAACAGATTCCGGTGACACCGACAAACTCACGTTACAAACAACAAAGGTAAACACAAACAACAACACAAACCTTGGCGTACAGTAAGAAAGCGTACACAAAACATAAAAACAACCCGGCGTGACACATCGCGCAGCGGGGAGTTACCGTGCACACCCCCACACCGCTCTTTGTTGTCTCCCGCAGCCTCAGCCTCAGCAGCCTCAGCAGCAGCCGCCTCCTGTCCACTCGATTTTGACGATGAGGAGGAGGTAAAAAAAGAGAGAGAGAGAGGTCACCTCCACCCCGCCAAAGCACTTCCACGATGCCCCGCGATGGTCGCGACGAGGCACCACCGCCGCTGCTGGTGCTGCTGCTGCTGGTGGTGGTGGTTCGATGCCAGGCAGAGGTTTTGCCTGGGCCCGCTGAGTGTGGGCGAGGCCGGGAGGCAGCGCCCTCTCGTGGCTGGGCACTCCCATTGACACTGCGTGACTCACAAATACATACCACACACACACGCGTTGCTTATTAGAGGGGTTTCCACCTTTTTTCTGGTGACAAAACGGAAAACTTTTTTTTAACAAGGATTCATGTCTGCTGCATTAACCACAATGCTTGCAGTCAAAATGCAAAACAAAAAACATACTATGATAATATATGATGCATTGTCCCTTGAAACTGATTGGTCCACACCAAGGGACGGCTTTCTTTTGAGCCTCGACCCAATTGGTGCTCGACCAGAGGACGCCAAAAGGCGTCACACAGCTCAAAGACAATGCCACTATCAAAGTAATGAGGGCTCGGGGTGAGCATCTACATCATTAGACCTACTTTGCCAGTACCAAAATATAATAATAGGGTTTTTCCCCCTCTTTTTCTGGCAACAAAACTGAAACCTTTTTTTTACAAGGATTCATGTCTGCATTAACCACAATACTTGCAGTCAAATGCAAACAAAAAACATAGTGCATTGTCTTTGAGCTGTGTGACGCCTTTTGGCGTCCTCTGGTCGAGCACCAATTGGGTCGGGGCTCAAAAGAAAGCCGTCCCTTGGTGTGGACCAATCAGTTTCAAGGACAATGCATCATATATTATCATAGTATGTTTTTGTTTGCATTTTGACTGCAGGTATTGTGGTTAATGCAGTAACATGAATCCTTGTTAAAAGGTTTCAGTTTTGTTGCCAGAAAAAAGGGGAAAAACCCTATTATTATGTTTTGGTACTGGCAAAGGAGGTCTAATGATGTAGATGCACTTTGTTTATTTCGGTAAAGTCACGTAGGTATAGTCACCCTACGTGACTATACCGAAAGAACCAAAGAGTATGGATCCCTGCAGTCACGAAAACTTCAAATCTAAAGAAATATAAAAACAATTTGTTCCTGAGCAGCAAGTGTTATTTTCCGAATGCTAATGCATCAAAGGTACAGAAAATTGATATTATTCCTCCCAAAAACTTTGTTTTTGCTCAAAGCCCTACATCACATCCGCATGAACCATGGCACCAGATACCGATACTTGATGATGATGTGCCAATGACAAAATCACCACTCAATTATTGCAGCAATATTCGACGCAGAAGATCGATCCCTGGGGTTTTGCTTCGACCTTCCCAGAAGTTTATGGTCCAAATCCCTAAATTGCATCCGCACGAACCATGGCACCAGATACCGATACCTGATGATGATGCACCAATGGGAAATTGCCACTGCATTATTGCAGCAGCATTCTACGCAGAAGATGGATCCCTGGGGGCTTGCTTCGATTTTCCAAGAAGTATATGGTCCATAGCCCTAAACCGCACCTGCACGAACTAAAGCACCAAATGATGATGATGCACCAATGAGAAATCGCCACTGCCACCACCATGCCTCTACACGCCAAGTCCTAATTAGTACTGAAGACCAGCACAACCCCGTAGCGCTGGCACATACAAACAGCTGTAATGCAGTACGTTACAAAGACGATTACCATTGTGACATTTATATTCTATATACTTGTATGGAAGCACAAATCTGTTCGTTTTGTCATTCATGAAATTATGTCAAACATTTCGATTTAAAGCTTTCGTGACTGCAAGGATTCATCTTCTTTGGTTCTTTCGGTAAAGTCACGAAGAATGAGAATAAAATAATAAAATAAAATAAGACAATAAAATTCTCACGACGTTTCGGCCACAACACAAGCAGCCTTCATCAGGTGAAAGAACAGAACTGTCCGGACGACAGAAATAACAGCCAAATGGAGCACTGTCGTCCCCACAGTTCTGTTCTTTCACCTGATGAAGGCTGCTTGTGTTGTGGCCAAAACGTCGTGAGAATTGTATTGTCTTATTTTATTGTATTATTTTATTCTCATTCTACGTGACTTTACCGAAAGAACCAAAGAATATGTAAAACATTCTTATATAGGATTCTGTTTATCTTATAAGTCAATGTCCAGCTGTAATAATAGAAATAACAGCCAAATAGCAATGTGAGCATTTTAAGTTGACTCATAGATGATTATTTTTACCTTCCAGAAAGTAAACAGTGACATTTGATTGCTGGTTTACCGTGCAGTTCAATACTCAGTGGCTGCATTAAAACTAGTACATGGTAACCAATTCAAGTAAATACTGTATGAACACATTCCAGTACAGACTAGTATATTCTAACACATTTATCATGCACATACATTTACAATTCTCAGCATTGTGTCCACACAATCTGTGACTGCCATTTCCACACAAGCTGAATAATGAAGCATTTGAAAGGGGTGAGTAGTGGCTAAGCGGTTAGTTTGCTTCGCTATAAATCTGGCTCCATGAGTTCAATTCCAGACCGCGGGTACCATCACTGGATTGTGAAATTTGAACTGATCTTGCATGTTAGGCCAATTCCAGTTACACTGTATGTGTGTGTTTTTACGATGCAAGAAAACCAGGGGACCCAGAGGAAACTAATGCAAAACAGGGGGAAAACATATAAACTCCACACAGAAAGGTGCTCGAGTTGGGAATCGAACCCAGGTGCTTCTTCCTGTGAAGCACAAACGTACCACACTGCCACCGTATAATGTCGTCAAACAATACGTGAGGTCACACACGTCGAGCAAGAATGCAGATTTACGAGTTAAGCCTCAGGTGAGAAGTGCAAGTGGATGGAAAATGTCGGCTGTGGTTTCTGTTAATGAGCTGTAGTTACACACAGCACAAACGTGGGGATTAAAAATGTGATGACCAAACAGGTTTACTGGTTGCCCAACATTACTATTTGCATTGGGCATTACAACTAGTGTACTTTTTTGTTTACAATTGTGTGACCCATACTGCCACACAATAAACACATTCATTTATTTCAAAGCACTCTCTATAGCGTTTAAATAGAAATTGCATCCCAAAAGGCCCTTGTAATTGCTTGCAATGATACGGAGTTATTATTATTAAGACTGTACAAAAACGATGTGACACTATAAGATTGTAATATATACAGTGTTGCGGTATATATAAATATTCTGGAGAAGAGAGCCTGGACTTGACCAGAGGTAGGGAGTTGGCTGGCGCAGATGAGGGAAAGGGAGGGGATATTTAATATTGCGGGCAGCAGAGGAGGATGAGAGACCTTGCCACTGAGCGGAGGTTGGCTGGGTAGCTCCTTATAAATTGTAAAAATATTTTTCGATTTAAAGCTTTCGTGACTGCAAGGATTCATCTTCTTTGGTTCTTTCGGTAAAGTCACGTAGAATGAGAATAAAATAATAAAATAAACAATAAAATTCTCACGACGTTTCGGCCACAACACAAGTGGCCTTCTTCAGGTGAAAGGAACAAACCTGTCGGGACGACAGCTAAAATTGTAGCTCTGACGTCCCGACAGGTTTGTTCCTTTCACCTGAAGAAGGCCACTTGTGTTGTGGCCGAAACGTCGTGAGAATTGTATTGTTTTATTTTATTAGTTTATTCTCATTCTACGTGACTTTACCGAAAGAACCAAAGAAGATGTAAAAATATTGTTGCTGCTGTTTACATTGTTGTTAATTAGCACAAGCTGAGAGAGAGCGACACAGGAACAAATAATCTCACTGCCATGTAACTCATGTGTGTATGAGTATGCGATCATATTATTTGGGTCTTTCGGTAAAGTCACGTAGATCGGTTCAAAGAAAATAACAAAATGACAAAAAACTACTATTTTCTTTGAACCTATCTACGTGACTTTACCGAAAGACCCAAAGAATATGAATTCCTGCAGTCACGAAAGCTTTAAGTCAAGTATGTGATCAATAAAGCTGACGACTTAAAATGGAGCTGTAGAGGATATTTGGCCTACTCTTCCCAGTTGGTCAGATGTTTTGGATAAAGTGGGAGAAAACGCCCGCTTTACCCCACCGCATGTGACCTGTCGATCGACCAACTTTGACATAACCCATTTATACTGCTGGATGGACAAAGGCATGGGGATTTAAGAAACTTCCACCATTGAATTTAACTGACGACCTCTGGTGTCCACTCTGCTAACCTAGTCAGTACATCACGGCAGCTCGACATAGTACTTATAACCATAACCTCATGAATGGACCTTTTTGAGGCTGCTGTTTTTAAGTGTCCTATTGATGTGCGGTTCTTGAATGTGACTTTGATAAAGCACGCTGCCTTTCGGGGTTTTTCGGTGCAATTTCGTCTCCATTAAATAACCCTGCCTAGTGGTTGTCACGTGTTTAATGTGCATATTTTTCAGGTTGAGATTGTTACTAAACCTTCAGACCTGTGTATTGTCTGGATTATATTTTATTAATGTAATAATCACTTGGAGTAATGAGTTTGCCCATATTAAAATTCATGGCCTCATTTATGTTTTTACAGAACAGTACTTTCTTCAGGTTGTGGGTATGAAAGTCAAATCTTTCTAAATAAAAGTTGCATGTTTGTCCACTACTGAATAAGGGCCTCCCCAAACCGTGCAGGCCGTGGGGGTTATTGGACCATACTTCACCACGATAGTCAGTGCGGGTTGGTGAAGGCAGGGATTAGACATTGTGGCATAGACGTACTGTACAGAACACTAGGTGTTGGTGTGCTGCCCTCTACTGCCCACCACGTGGCCACGCAGCCCTGTGAAAACCTATTCATATCCTTTGGGTCTTTCGGTAAAGTCACGTCAATAAGTTACTTTCTTTGAACCTATCTACGTGACTTTACCGAAAGACCCATAGAATATGAATTCCTGCAGTCACGAAAGCTTTGAGGCAATAATTTTCTGTGAAGACCTGTTTGTGCATGGTGGTCAAATAATCCAGGAACTGACCAGACTCAAACCTGCTTAACTTCCGAGATCTGATGGGATTGGGCGAATTCCAGGTGCTTTGGTCACATGCCATCATCAAAAACATTAGAAGACTAAGCGTTTTCGCAAGCTGCCAGTGAAATTCAATATTGACCACGCTGGATGGAGACCGCAGCGTCATCGAGTGTCTGCTGCTCAAACCACAGAATTAAAATTATTTTGCTTCATGTTCTGGAATC